CACCCCAAAAAAAAAAAAAATACCTGCCGACATAATCTAAATTTGTTTTCAGTAATGAGACCTGAAAACATCTTGTCATCAGGTTAATGATCATAATTGAAAAGAAGAAATCTTAATCTTTAAAATGATACACATTTTATGGAAATATAAACAACATTTTGTTGTGCTTCAAGTGTTAGAAGAACCTCAACATTAGAATTAGTATTTACTTCCATACATTTTAGTATTATAGTAATATACAGTGTGCATAGATATAATATATATTTTTTGGGGTGGTTGGGTAATCCAATGGATAGCACACTTCTCTATCACCAAGAGGGCCTGGGTTTGATTGCTCCATTTGACTAAAAAGGTATTGGGTCACCCGCCCAACCATGTGGGTTTACCTGTGGGAAACTTAAACCTCTGTAACTGGAGGTTTCCTCCCACATTAAGACTCCCTACACGCTTCACTTGGGCTGACAAGAATGCATAATATCAGTTGGAAAAAATTATTTAACTCATTCACCCCTGAAATTTTATAATGAACTATTTCAACCATTGAATTGGAAGAGTTCAAATGTGTCTTTAGGGGTGAATGAGTTGATAATTAATGGTTGTAAAATAGAAAAAGTTTATATTTACCAGTAATACCTGTAGTTGTTTTTTTTTGTCTCACTGGATTGTTTAAACTTATATCTGAATTCTGAGAGGTGTTAGCGCTGATGTATGCTCCACATCAATGTTTGTATATACATGTATGTGGTAATTGACAATAATAGCTCAATAGATAACTCTTTTATTACCAAGTACACCTACCTAGCTGTAGATGTGATAATACAAACACTAGATATTTATCTTATACCTACATTTTATCCTGGGAATTTGCAGATAAACGTGATCAAGAACTGGCTGACAAGAAGACTATCCCTGTATGTATGTGAACGCTGCTTGCTGACATGGACATCACACCAGGTGCAGTATAAGTTCATTATGTTAATTTATAGTTCCCTGTACTGCTGTGTAAAACTGTACTTACACATAAAAAAAAAAAAAAAAAAAAAAAAAAACTATCGTCATATAAAATATACCTGCTCCAAGTCAGGAACCGTTACATTAGTGCATTTCACAATTATTTTATGTTTTTTAGCAAAAAATAGGTACAATTTTTTTTGGGCCCCTGCTACCTATACTGAAGGGAGACCATATGATACCGGTACGCGTACTGGATCATTTTCCTTGGCTAGCAAAGATGGGTGACCCAGTGGGGTGGTTAGAGAAGGTGCATTGGTCACATGGGATTCCCCAGGCCAAGACACGGGACACTCACTAGTTCAGCAACGTTGACCGCAAGCACATTTCATTGATATCATTTAAATAAATTTTACTACTGCTTGTTCCCGAAATGACCATCCAGGATTTTTTTTCCTGTCATTATTAAATTTGTCCAGGCTTGACCTTTTTGCATTAAAATGAGATTTTTGTCACTCTCTTTGATCAGGTCCAGTACACTCTGCCGATTGAGCTATATAGCTGTAAAGACCTATAATAGCTCTATTGACCTATCTGAAATAGGTCTTTTGAGCTATTTTCAAGTGATTTTCTTTTTTAAGGAAAACGGAACAAAGTTGCATTTAAAAGAAGATTGTATCATTAGGTTGATAACAAAAGACATTAAATATAAGTATTCTTTTAAAAAAAAAATGATGTAAAGAAATCGGAAATTTGACATTTATGAAAAATAAAAATAAACATCTTAATGTATGCTTTTTGTAGTCAACATTACCATCAACCTTTTTGTTTTATGCGACTTTGCTTTAATTTAATGAAATTTGAAATCTGAGAAAATATAGCTCAATACAGCTATAATTCATAGGTGTATATACATTCTGTAGCTATATAGGTCTTTATAGCTATAGCTAAATCGGCAGAGTGTACTGGACCTGTTGATTTACCATCATATTTCATTGTATATGCAAGGAGGCTCTTTTTAGGTCACCTGAGTCACTCAATTGTCCTGTGTCTGCCATCCTGTGTCTCCCTTTTCTATTCCTTCACTCCTTACTTTATCCCATTTTCCTGTCTTTTCTTCGTCTGCTGGATAACCAAACTACTCAGTAGTGAAGCGGACGTAAAACAAATCAATCAATCAATCTATCAATCATGACTGTCGTCCGTCTTGCATCAGAAATCCCATTTTCAACTTCTGATCAGAAATTAAACCATCAGTTTTATTCCCTGTCTCGTCACAACAGGTGACATTGTATTTTAACTCGGGTGACTGACAAGACCCATTGGCCTCTTGTTTTGTCCTACTACACTTGTACCTGTGACTCATTCGTTTATATAGTATACCATATTATCTGTTCTCTTTTCTCACTGTTGATCAAAGTTCATATCCGTCAAGAAGCATCATGAAATTAACATCACTTTATCAGGTTCGTGGAATAAAAAGAACCTCCAATCACATCACATCATTTTATCGGGGCCATTGACATGTGATAGGATATTTGTGATAACTTATCATTGTACTGGCGATAAATTATATTTTGATCATTGCTTTATTTGCATTTAATACACATCAGATAAAGAATTACGAAGAAACTCAGAAGGAAGAAAATGAAGTTGAGTGTTAAATTATTTCAAATATATCAAGTGTTTTAACAATATATTTCAATAAAATAAAAAGTCATTATTTCACTGTCAATAATATGAATGAATATAGTTACGAAATATCTGTATTAAACAATCTTCTTGTTTAGAACCACATCACTTGGATGTTTTAATACATGGTTACTTCAGGGTTTTGACAGCTGATAAAACGCCAGGAAAACACATATTCTGCTTATGTCATGTTCTGCTTAATATCATGTACTGTAAGTGGAAGGGGCTTTTATGGGTCAGTAACTGCCTGTCCACCATTATGTAAATTTCACTTCTCATTTGTGAGAGTGAGACTCCAAAACGCGTGTTGAGATGGAGGTACAAAGTTTATAAACATTTGCCCCTGAAATTTCATAATGAACTATTCCAACTTTTGAATTGGGAGAGTTCAAATGTGTCTTCAGGGGTGAATGAGTTAATCTCCCTGTAAGAAATCGTGACTTCACCACTGTCTGTCTTAGTGCCATATCATCAGTCAATTAACAATTTTAAAAAAATCTGAGGGAATTTAATTTAGTTTGCTTTTATAGGTATTTTATCATAAGTATAACTATAATGTTAATACACATATAGAATGTTTTTGTCATCCCTATATATTTTAATGGGTACGAAATACTGGTATAAATGATTTTGCTCTCAATGAGTTGAGCTTATATGCTAGTAATATGCCTAAATTCTTCTTCTTGTTATAAAAAACCCGGCTACAGATCCTTATGATGTAAATGGATCCTCATAATTACTTTCCCACTTTTAAGAAAAAATTCAGAGACGAAAATTGTTAAAATGATTATAGTTTATCTCAGAGCAGTCTACCTAGGTTTTACCTTTGCAGTTTACCTGTGGGTACCTGTGCCGTCTAAGGTTTTGAAGTTACCTGAAAGTTTATTAATCCTGCAATAAGCCCATGTGGCCATCACATAAGACAAGATGAAAAAAATGTCTAGGAAATTTAACGCAGGTAAAAATCTAAAATAAATGAACTCAGGTAATTATGAAACTAATAATATGAAACTGACTATAACTGGTCTATTATATCATACATTTATCTTGTGTATTCCTTTATCACACATTGTGCTTTGTTCTCAAATCAATGAGGAAATTGAGAACACTGCTATAGTACATGGAAGCATTCAGTATTTGCTAACTTCTTTTCTTAAAAACATGACTGTTGATGAATGCTAAATGCCAAAAATACATTCCTGTATTGTGTTCAACCTCATGTTTGTACTTATAGGAGTCCTGTCCCACTACGCCTGCAGTGACGGATCCAGAGACCTATCTAGGGGGGTTTCCAAATTTCCAGGGTGTGTGTGTTCCAAGTGGGGGGAAATTGAGAAAAATGGTGAAAATACATGATTTTTAAAGAAAATTCTCTGGGTGGGGGTGTTTCCTGAAGTCCAAAAACCCCCTCTGAATCCGCCACCGCACCTGTCACCATGATCTCTTTTTATATATATTTTAAGTAACCTTCTCTCCTATAGATGGTCTGTGACACTTCTGTTGACCAAGTATCTTAATGACAGCTAGAGTGACAGCAATGGTTTGAAGTCCTGGTGCTCAGTATTCATAAAAAACATTCTCATGCTCAAACTCATAATCTGTGCTCATTGAAGCCCATTTTCTTGCTCGAGTAATAAATTGATAAATAATCACATTTTGTTCATGATTTTGTAGAATTTTGTAGATACTTCAAGCTAAATATTAATATCATCATTATCACTTGTCTTGAGTGAGAGAAAAGTTGGTTTGAGCAATTCTCCATTTTCCACTTAAAGTACGTCCCACAAGGTTTTTCTTTTCAATAATTATTCATCAAAGCTAATTAGTCATGCTGGTAAAAACAGTTTTGAATGTATAGTTTTAGTTTTTGACAGTGGTGCAGGGATATATGAGACATACTTGGAAAGTTAGGATTATAAATCATATCAATTCAAATCTAAAATGTTTATGTCTTTGTGTCTCATACTTGTGCACGTAATTATTCATTTAAGTCCTCTCTACCCTAATCCTACACACAGGCCAGAAATATTTTACTGAAACTTTGAAAAGGTCATTCTTTTTGTAGTCAGATCGGCATTTAACTCTAAAAAAAACAAGGATCGGTGAATGTTGGTTTTATAGGTGTAACAAAAACTTAGCACTGACTCGATCAAGCACAGATGCCACCTTTGAACTCCTGTGACCTCCCAGTCTGCTTGTAATTTTCGTTAAGGTAGATCTAGAGATACCCATCACTCTGTATTGTATCTTCAAAAAGAAGAGATCCAATTTCTTTGACTTTTTTTCTGAAATGTAATTTCTTGCCCATTTACTGTACCAACAAGTTATACAAAAAGGAATATAGAATAATTTTATTTTTCGTATGCCATGCAGATTCGATCTCAGGATTGTTAAATTATAAAGCAGGGAATTTACCTATATAGCTGTGCTTCCATTTATGATATTTACCACAGAAATACTTTCCTGCAGCATTACTGGGTATAATATCAAAATGTTCAAACTCCCAAAAAAGCACCTGCAACTCAGAATTGTTTAAGTACCGTATAACTGTACAGGAAATAAGATAAAATTAACAGGAAAATCATTTTTTAGCTCACCTGGCCCAACCTCTTGTCTTAAAAAACAAACAAACTAAGAGGCCTAGGATAATGATATTTGGCAAGTAACATGCTAGGATAAAGGGCTACCAAGTTTGTTAATTTGAATGACTGACTTTTTTCAAGGTCACAGGGGTCAATTATCTTGAAAACCTTTAAACAGCTTCTTCTGTTTAACCAAAAGGTCCAGGGTGATGATATTTGGCCAGAAGGATGTTGGCGTAAAGGGCTACCAAGTTTGTTGAAATGAATGACCTTTGCCCATATTCAAGGTCACAAGGGTCAATTGTCTTAAAAAATCTTTAAACAATTTCTCCTGAATAACTAAAAGGCCTAGGATAATGATATTTGGCAAGTAACTAGGATAAAGGGCTACCAAGTTTGTTAATTTGAATGACCTTGACTTATATTCAAGGTCACGGGTCAAATTTGTTTAAAACCTTTATACAACTTCTTTTGAATAACCAAGAGGCCTAGGGTGATGATATTTGGTCAGCAGGATGTTGGGATGAAGGGCTTAAAAGTTTATTCAAATGAATGACCTTCACTCATATTCAAGGTCAAAGGGGTAAATTGTCTTAAAAACCTTTAAACGACTTCTTCTGTATAACCAAAAGGTCCAGGGTGACGATATTTGGCTAGAAGGATGTTGGCATGAAGGGCTAACAAGTGTTTTCAAATGAATGACCTTTGCCCATATTCAAGGTCACAGGG